TCCGATAGCTTGGAGCAAACAGCGGTGTGCATATCATCATTTTTGATGAGATTGATGCAATCTGCAAGCAGAGAGGAAGCATGGCGGGTAGCACTGGAGTCCACGATACCGTTGTAAACCAGTTGCTGTCTAAAATTGATGGAGTTGAGCAGCTCAATAACATCCTAGTGATTGGTATGACGGTGCTTACTTTCTCTGTTACGGGGTCTGGTTGAAAACTGCTGATGTTTTGCTCACCGCAGGTCAGCTAAGTTGTCATTTCTGGTGTGGGGTCTGGTTAGACTAAGCCGATGCTATTTACCAAGCTTCAGTAGCAGATTTGAAGGGAGATGGTGCTGTAATGGGCTGATATTGCTGCTTTCAACAATCTCCTCCTTTAGCTTGTGATAACAAGTGTTTCGTAGCTTAAGAAAACTTGCAAGGTATGATATGCCCTGATGTATCGGCATAGGAAGGAGTGAGGCTTCTCTAGCTGTCTTGTCTTGCTGTTCCGATGCCAGGAGCCCCGCAGGTACGGTCACAGATACAGGTTTGATCCATATTGCCCCGACTCAACGTCAGGGCGGGACTTTTCCAATATTTCTGGAGATGGGTATCTTTTGTCTGTTTTCTTGAGACTCACTGAGGTATCTTTGCTCTATGGGTGGCGTTCGGGAGTTGGAGACCCACTTAGTAAGCTCGCATAATGCTTATTTTATTTTTAACTTTGAATTTAGGAATGACCAACAGACCTGACCTGATTGATGAGGCTCTGCTGAGACCGGGGAGGCTGGAGGTGAAAATGGAGATTGGTAAGCAAGCTAGCGTATCGCAATACGTAAGCTCACATGTATTACTATAGTCAAGCAAATATATTTTATAATGCGAACAATTAACCAGGATGGTATAGGTGCTAAACTTCATAGAATCATCGAATTGTCTGGGTTGGAAGGGACCTTTAAGATCATTGTGTCCAACCATCAACCCAACGCTGCCCAAACCACCACTACCCCACGTCCCTCAGCACCACCTCTGCCCCTCTGTTAAATCCCTCCAGGGATGGCGACTCCACCACTGCCCTGGGCAGCCTGTGCCAACGCTTGACAACCCTTTCCATGAAGACATTTTTCCTAATCTCCATCCTAAACCTCCCCCGGCACAACTTGAGGCCATTTCTTGTCCTATCACCTGTTCCTTGGGAGAAGAGACCGACCCCCGCCTTGCTACAACCTCTGCAGCTCCCTCCATAATATCACCTGTAAATCTAAGCAGCCAATTAAAATACCATTTTAGACTTAGCTACTGACAAAGCCATTGACCTGATACCAGTGTCTGTCCAGCAGAATGGACAGGTCTGGCAGGCAGGACCCTGACTCTCCTGCATGAATGGAAGGAGACAGGTAATGGCACCAGACTGTTCCGAGGTGGAAATTGCGGAGCTGTTGAGCTTGTAGAGTAGGCAAGCGCAGTGTGTGTGCAATTCGGGACTTGGAGGAAGCGCAGATCATCTTATTGGCATGAAGCGATAACGGTGACTTTCAGTGCAGGAGCTGCAGATGTTAAAGAGCATTGGCTACCGGCTTCTGAAATCAGCAGGTCCGGATTGCTTGTGTCAACAGGACTAATCGTGGGCTGGATAGCTGTGCTGGCCGTTTATTGTAGTGAGCTGGAAAAGAGCGCTCTCAGTAACTGAAAAGAGACTTTTGTAATTGGACACATCTGCCTGACACCAGTGCAATTCAAATAATGGAATACCTGATAATATAGGGTTTATTAAGAAATTAAGCCCAGATCATCTTAGATTCGTGAACACAAATCTCTGACTTTGCATTTGAGATCAGAAGTTGTATCAGTAAAGATCGTGGTGGAGTCTAAAGGGTGACCAGACTGTCGTGTTCTCTTCTGAGGTTAACAATTCACAGAACAAAGTTGGAATGCTCAGAGAATAGCCTGGGACTAATTAAAAGCTTAACGATCCTGTCTTGCAGTGAGAAACTCAAATTGGTTGAGATCCATGTTTAATTTAAAGATTGGAAATGCAGTTTCAGATGTGTAGTTTGGAAGAGTTCATAAAACATTTTCCCTTAACCTGCCACAAACATAGAGGTAACACAAAACATTTTCTGTGCTCTGAGCGGGGCACACCCAAAATTGTAAAGGTAAAAATTCTCAAACTGTAGTGAGTCACAAAAAAGGAACAGGCAAGGCCATGAGCATTGATATGGTCTGTTTTCTTTCAGTTGCAGAAAATGAGATGAAAAGCCATATGTTACGGTAGTCGAGCGGATGGAAAGGGTGTAATTGTGTACGCTGGTCTGAGCTGTGGGGAAACTCTTGAAATCTGATCTATCAGTGTGATCTTAAGAGCTCACGAGGAGTTTTTTGTCTTATCGTTAACGGGTAACGTCACTCTTTGAAAGAGCCAGAAACAGGCAAGAGTTTTTGTGATAGCTGAAAAGGGAAGATTTTAGGCAAAAGAAGGAATGAGGAAGTGAAGCTGATGACTACTGAGGCAGCCGCAGAGGTAACCCGGGCAGTGAGCTCATGCTCCAGAGTTGATGCTGTCCTTGAGTACTGTAGGAAAGGGTTTATATCAGGCGTTACTGTGCGTGTGGCTCAGGTAAGATGAGAAGATGAGAGATTCAACTGGAGCACTAGCTGTGGAGCACAGATGGTATGGATGGTTTCAAATATGCCGGAGACCTAAGAGACTAAGGCATTTGTCAGAAGCAGGAAAAAATATTGAAAGAGAGGGATGCGTGTTCTTGGCGTAATACACAAAAAAGGAAAATTGGGTAAAGAAGTTCAACCAGGCCAAGTGTGAGGTCCTGCACGTGGGTTGGGGCAATCCCATGCACAGATCCAGGCTAGGGGAAGAATGGCTGGAGAGCAGTCCTGAGGAGAAGGACTCGGGGGTGTTGGTGGATGAGGAGCTCAACATGAGCGGCAATGTGCAATCGTGGCCCAGAAGGCCAACCATATCCCAGGCTGCATCAGAAGTAGCATGGCCAGCAGGTTGGGGAAGTGATTCTGCCTCTCTGCTCCACTCTTGTGAGACCCCACCTGGAGTACTGCCTCCAGCTCGGGGGGTCCCAACATAGGAGAGACATGCAGCTGTTGGTGCGGGGCCAGAGGAGGCCCCGGAGATGCTGGGAGGGCTGGAGCCCCTCTGCTGGGAGGACAGGCTGGGAGAGTTGGGGTGGTTCAGCCTGGAGAAGAGAAGGCGAAAAAGGGGAGACCTCAGAGCCCCTTCCAGTGCCTAAAGGGGCTCCAGGAGAGCTGGGGAGGGACTCTGGATCAGGGAGGGGAGCCGTGGGACGAGGGGGAATGGTTTCAAACTGGAAGAGGGGAGATTGAGATGAGCTATTAGGAAGAAATTGTGTCCTGTGGGGGTGGTGATCCCCTGGGGCAGGTTGCCCCGAGAAGCTGTGGCTGCCCCATCCCTGGAGGTGTTCGAGGCCAGGTTGGACGGGGCTTGGAGCAACCTGGGCTGGTGGGGGGTGTCCCTGCCCAGGGCAGCAAAGGGTGGGCTAGATCTTTAAAATTCCCTTCCAACCCAAGCTATCCTATGAATTTATGATTCTGTGGTTATATTTTATGATTCTATGGTCATTGCAAGGTGGGAAGTGGGTTTAGGGATGCTGAAGGACTGCCCAGATTGCCTTTGTGTAAGGTGAATTCCTGGTATGAAAGCCTGAGAGCACCCAACTTGGAAACAACCCTGAGGAAAGAAACTAAACATTACACTTTTTCTCTCTAGTTTGGTGATGCTAACAGTGATTGGTGCTGCTAATCAATTAATGTAATTGAGTGTGCTCAAAAGAAAAGCATTGTCAGATATTCTACTTGTAAGAATTAATTGCTCATGGTGAGAAAGAGCCTTCGGAGGTGGAACCACGGAGGAGAGGGAGAGACTTTGCTGCAGTTGCTGTGCCGAGGCATGGAATGACATGTGTTCTTTTTAAAAATCTCAGGCTTGCCCGACGAGAAGGGTCGATTTCAGATTCTGCATATCCACACGGTACGGATGCGGGAACACCAGCTGCTGGCTGAAGACGTGGACATTGCAGAACTGGCAGTCGAGACTAAAAACTTCAGTGGTGCTGAATTAGAAGGTTTAGTTCGAGCTGCTCAATCTACTGCTATGAACAGACACATTAAGGTCAGTCCTGTCATCTCTCGCCGGGGCAAAAAAAGGGAAGACAGTTGTTTGAAGTCTTTTCTTGAATATTTACTTCCAAACGGGTAGTGGTGTCTCAGCATACCTTAGGAGATGAAATTCACATGGACACCACCTTGTCACTGTGCTTTTCTACACGGTTCGGAATTACCTCTTTCATCTCCTGACCTCCAAGTGGCTCTTGCATAGCTCAGGGGGAATGGAAGGTGATTGATTGTCAATGTATTTTGACTGAAAGTGAAAGAAAAGTTTTGTACTCAGTTTATGGATTGGACCCGGGAGACAAGAGGTGGAAATGAGACCAGCCAGTTGTATGGGAGGGATCTCTGCTGGAGCCCCTGCAGCTCAGCGTGTTCCTAAATGATCTGTAAAGAGGTGGGAAGAGCAAGGTTGCAAGCTCATAGCTGTTTTGTGGTCATAAAGGTGAAGGCCACCTATGGAAAACTGGAGAAGGCATTTGAAATAACGTGAGTACGCAAGATGTAGTCAGTGAATTTAAGTGTACACTGGGGATCATGAATTCAAAAAGGTGTAGGCAGTGATAGGGACTGACCTGACCATTGCCTGGGGTCAAGTTCTTGGAGTTACAATGATCTTGAAAAACTAGCTCAGTCCATATCAGTGAAAAAAGCAAACGCGACGTTAGAATCTACTAGGAGAGGTATACAGAGTAAAAGGGAGGCTGTGATTACGCCACGGACAAAATCTCCGGTATATTTGAATCTCTGCAGTCCTGGGACACCCACCTTGAATGTTGTGGAAAAACTAGGGTATGGAAAGGCAGCAGGGAAGGTCAGAGGTGTAGGAGGGTGTTCATTGGAAGAATGGTTAGACTGTGAGTTCTCAGCCTGAAAAAAACATGGTGAAGGGTTATGAGAAGTATGTGAAATCACGACTGGATTGGCATCGGTGAACGGGGAATGAGCGGTTACTCTTTGCTAAGACAAGAATGATACCAGCGGGGCCGTGCTCAAAGCAAAGAAAAGGAGATGTGCGTTGTGAGAAGAAGTATTTAAGCAGTGGAAGGAATCTTTTGCTCCAAGATGTGGCTGATGCTAAAATCTTGGTTGAATTCAGAAGGGGCTCGTACAATGTCTTCCATTTCAAATAAGAACTCACTGGATGATCATCTCAGTGAGTAGAGACTTGTAATGTTCTCGGCTCCCTCCGTTCCAGAGGAGCATTGCCTTGCTTTCCCAATGTTTGCTGATTGTGGGAGGTCAGTGTGTCGTTAAAGGAGTTAAGGACCATGAAATGTCAGGTTATATTAATCCAGATGCAAAACAGTATTCGATGGTGTTGAAATATGAGATGATTAGTTTGCGAAGGAGGAGGCTGAAAGACGCAGCGCCTTTGCTCTGGTGGCCAAGAATTGGTGTGAATTACTGCAGAGAAAAGCCTTTGACATCAGTTCCACAACACTGCTGTATTTTTAAGTAGAAAGTCTGTTCAGCCTCAAATATGAAGAAAGCAAATCATGTTTTCATTTAATCATAAGTCATTTGGTTGCTTAGACATTTATATCTTTTGGGAACTCTCTTTCTAAAGGAAAAATGGTTCTTCCTGCTCATTTTTCTTTTATAGCCATAATAATTGAAAAGTTACTAATTGTTTCCCATAGCAAAAAAAACCCCAGACATCAACAGTTTCTAATTTTCTTGTGTTCTGTCTCGAAAAAAAAAAATAAATCAGCACCTCTGGAGGTATTTTCATCCCTTCGCAAGCAAAACATTTTCCTTAAATAATTAATTTTGCTTAGAGTTGATGTTTTTTCAGCGCTTGAAGTTTGGGTGAGTTTGGGGACCATTAGTGTTTTGATATATTCCCTGTTGTGCCAAAATGTCACAGCAGGAGAAGAGAAAATGGCAATGCTTACATGTAAAAGAGCAGTCCCCTCCCTTAGGTTGGTACGTGATTGACATCTGAATAACATATCTATGTATATTCCAAATGTGGAGCGGCCACACTTCGTTTTTCTTTTCAAACACTTTGACGGAGTATTTTTGGATAATCTTACTGTTTATTCTGAAGGTGTCTTCAGCCAAATGATGCACTAAGGTATTTCATTCTCTCCTACAAGTACTGCAAAATATAAAATATACATCATAGGCCTGACCTAGTTTTCAGTAGCACCTACGAGAAGCAAGAGCGCAAATTGAAAATCAAGGGGCATTATTCTTCTGAATCATTTAAACCCTTCTAATAATCTCTCAAAGTTTGTGTGTGTGTGTGTGTGTGTGTGTTAAAAATTAAAACGTATAACTTGTTAAAGGCTAGAAAAGAAAGAAACCCCTCTGTTTGTAAGTATTCAAACAAGCACAAATCCAGGCTGGGCGGAGAATGGCTGGAGAGCAGCCCTGAGAAGAAGGACTCGGGGGTGTTGGTGGATGAGAAGCTCAACATGAGCCGGCAACGTGTGCTGGCAGCCCAGAAGGCCCCCCGCACCCCGGGCTGCATCCCCAGCAGCGTGGCCAGCAGGGCGAGGGGGGATTGTGCCCCTCTGCTGCGCTCTGCTCTGGGGAGACCCCCCTGCAGTGCTGCCTCCAGCTC